CCCCCCCTGGCACTGGCCCACGAGCAGGTGTGCCGACTACTGGCGGCCCACGGCGACATCACCCTCGACCAGGTATGTTCCTGAGCCCGGGCAGGGGGGGTGCTGCGGGGGGAGGGGGGACGCGCGACCGGGCCGTGGCTGACGCTCCTGGCCATCGTGGCCTCGTTCGGCCGGAAGATTGTCCACCTGAAGGAGGGGCTGCACTTGGTTGTGCGTGGCCTCATTGGCCCGGATGGCCCGTGCTCCCGGGGGCTCATCGACCGGCACACTGCCATCCTGCTGGACCCGGTGCCGGAGCATGTCACCATTTGTGGCGGGCCGCCGCGGCTGGCGGAGGTCGATGGGCCGCCGCCCGGAGGAGGCCCGAGCACGCTGCCGGTGCCGGTGCCGGTGCCGGTGCCGGTGCGTGGCGCGCCCCGGCCTGACCCCGTCCTGCCTCGGCCGTGGCCTCGCCATCGCCAGTCACCCTGCCTGGCCCTCACACACCGACATCCCCCATGGCCCCGGTCCGGCGGGCACAGCCCCCGCGCGCCGGGCAGGCCGCCGGCCATGCCCTGCCCGGCGCCTTCAATGTGACCCTGGCCCTGAGCATGTGCCTGGGAGCCGCCGGGCCAGGGCGGCTGGTGTCCTCGAGCGTGGTCATCCCGCCGGAGTTGCGGCACACCGTGCGGCTTTCGCCGGACCTGCTGGCCGACCTGCTGGGCGCCGGGTCCCCGGTGTCGGCCATCAGGCTGCCGGCTCGGATTTCCTTTGCCAGCGAGTCGCGGCGCACCATCCACCAATGTCTGTTGTGCGTGATGGCGCCTGTTCCGCCCCCCCCCCCCCCCCCCCGCGCCCCATGCGGGTGTTGTTTCCGCCCGCTCCGGTGCACCGGAAAGGCATCTCACCCTCGCATGTGCCCGGGCCCGGTGGCCGGGCCTGCCGCGGCCAGGCCGGATGCCTCCCTGTCGCGAGGGGTCCTGGCCCTGCCGCGCGAGCTGGCCGAGGAGTTGTCGCTGTGGCAGGCCCGCGGCCCGATCAGGGCGATGCTGGACCTGGACACGCCGGTGGTGGGGACCCTGCTGGCCGAGATCACTGGCCACCAGGCCGACGGCCAGCCACCGGCGGATCTGGCCCTCGTGGCGTCGGAAGTGGAGCAGGCCCTCGGGCGCTCGGGCGACAAGGTGCGGTCCGGCGAGGCTCGCCCGCATTCCGCGCTGTCCCCCCCCCCCCCGCCCCCCTTGGCGGGCCTGGTCCGGTCACTGACCATGGCGACGGTGGCCCCTGTGCCGGCCGAGGCAGTTGCATGCGCCGGTGTCGCTGTGCCTGCCATCGGGCAGGGTGGTTTCCATTGGCAGCCTGCTGCGGCTGAGCTGTGCCATGCTGCCGCCGGGGCACTTTCCGCACGAGTGGTGCTCGTCGGATCTCCAGCAGCATGAGGGGCACTTCGTGGGGGGCGTGTCGCGGGTGGTGTTCCGGATGCCGGCCGCCATGGTGGGCCATGTGCCGCTGGCGTGCCGGGCCCTGGCCCTGGTGGCCGGCGAGGCGGCTGGCGATGCGGTTCTCCTGCGCCCGGTGGCCGACCGGGGCTTGCCCACGAATGGCATGCTGGTCAGCCTGCCGGTCCTGCCGCCGGCGCTGGACCGGCTGTTCGGCCTCACCTGCCAGAGTCTGGGCGAGGCGCTGGTCTTCGACATCGGGGGCCGGCAATTCCGGCTGCTGTGCGTCGGGCGCGCATCCGGGTGTGGGATGTGTCGCTTTTCGGGCCATCCTCGCAAGGAAAGGGGGGGGGGGGGCGGGGGGGCGGAGGGGGTTGTTTGTCGGTCTGGCCGTCTCCTGCCCGCTGGGCCCGGGCCTTGCATCTGACAGTTGTGAATGCCGGCGCGGGCCGACCCAGGATCCGGGGCCCGGCCGGGGGGGGGGCTGTCCGGCCCTTCGAGGTGCACATGCATCCCGAGGTCCTGGAGGAGATCTGGCCCGATGGCCGCCTGGTCAGGGCCCGCCTGCGGAGGTGGGTCAGTTCGTTGGACATCGAGTACCTGGTGGAGATGCCCATCAGCATGGGCTATCCGGTGGACAGGGACCGCCTGGAGTTTGCCATCCGGTGCGAGATCACCGACAGCCCGGGCCTCATGCAATCGGTGCGTCGCCTGCGTGCCGGCCGGCGTGGCGTTCGTGCCTTGCCATGCCCCCG